AGATATTTACTGTTTTTATCCAAATAGCCCAGTCCAGAACATTGTAGAGAAAAGAAGGTACATTGTGATTTGGCTTTTTAAATCATGAATATTTGGACTAAATATTTCCTCTTTGCAAAAGAATGTTTTACTTAACCTGGTTAATTTAGTTTCCTTGCTTATCTCTAACATAAATGTGTTGGGTTAGGAGGAGATTTGATAAGTGAAGGCCAAAGGGTAGGGTTTTTCATTTTATAGAAGAGATTAAATAAACAAATTTAATTATTTAAAATTATGCAATCATTTTAATTTTTTTTTTTTTAATTTAAACTTTTCTTTTTGGATTGTGTACCTTGAATGAGAAGAATCAATATTAAATCATAAATGAAAACTTTTTAACACAGATCTACTTTAAACCAAAAAAAAATTATGACAATTAAAGTTGAGCAATAAAATTCATAATACTGTAACTAAATGAAATCTTTATAAGAGCTTAAGTAGGTTATTTGATTGTAACTTTGAACACTGCTTAATATTGATATACAAATAAAGCTATATTAAAAATTTTACAGCAGGTAGCACACACTGAACTGGAAAATTGGAGCTATTTTAAAAGTTTTTACATTTACTTATAAAATATGCAATAACTGAGTAGAATTAATATCTACATAATATAATCAAAACAAAAATTGAGATCAAAAAGGGAAAAACATTCAAAATTGCTTTTAAAGTAGAAATCTAAGTAGGAGAGTAAACTTAGAATAAATATAAAGATATAAATTTTCACTTAAAGTTAAAATATCCAATAATATACTAAAAATAATTTTGATGGTTATGATGCCTTGACATATAAGTTTATCTACATGATAAATTTAGCTGTCAGATTAGATCATGGGACTTAATCATGACAGATTTGCATTGAAATAATAATGATGGTGATATACAAATTTTGAGAATTCACCAAAATGTGCAAACATAATAGGATATATTTTGTTATAGTGTACAAGAAGAAATGTAGGAACCGAATCAATCTGAACTTTAATGTTATGTCCAATTAGGAATCTCTACAAATTTTGTTGAATGAGATTAATTATACTGAATTATAACAATTGTAATTATTAATTTATATAAATAATATTTTTCAATACACTAAAAAATGAAGTGGTTAAAACATAATTTAATTATTAATTCTATAATTAAAAGTAAGAATTATAATTCAGTGTTAAGCTTATTATCTTAAAATTTTCATGCATCAGTTTCATCAGTAACTTTAATAAAACATGAATACAAAAGAAATTCAGTAATTACAAAGGGTAACCCATTTGAATTTTAAGATTATTGTACAGCTATATACCTGAAAATTTTACCAAAGTGATTTTATAAAAATGTAAATTACAGTAAAAGTAAATAACATACTTTGAATGAACAATAAAATATTTTGATATAAGAAATAACATGAAAAATTATTTCCCATTGTCTTTTATAAGTTTTTATGAAGTATTAGTATTTTCCGAACAGCATAAAATAAAACTGATCTCCAAAATGGAAAAGCTATAGTCACTTTGAGGACAAATCAAAGTACTATATTAACAAAATGAAATTTTAAACAATTGAATTATTAAAACACATGGGAAAATTAAGACAAATATAAATTATTAGTGAACTAAAATTTACTTGTTAATTGCCAAGGAAAAGTAGAAAAAAACTCATTCTTGAAAGTTTACAAATCCTGCCAGCGATGCATATTAAAACTTCCATTAAAATGAAATGAGACACAAAGTTTGTTTACAATTCAAGCAAAAATATGGGATATATATGAAACAACAATAATATAGCTTTTAATTTTAGAAACTGAAAATTTTCCTTATCTAGGGAGGATAACTAAGTATGGACTAAATGTTTAATCTAAGGGAAATAACTATGTTTAGGAACAGTGTTATTAGAATATATTTATTGTTGGAGCCCCATGTTGAGATGAACAAAATTTCACCCCAACAATCTCTTCATATTGTTCTGTATTACAATAATATATATTTGTTAGAATTAAGACCTTATCACTCACATAAGATACAATGCAAACTATTAAACAATATGGTATATAATTTGATTTTAATTTATGAAATTTCAAAATTTAAACAAATGAACCATTGCTTGTCACACCTGATATGTAATGCAAAAATCAAGGTTGACAATTCTAACATTTAATCAACAATACTATGATAGTTGCAATATAAGTTAATGAAGATGACTTAAACATTAAGGTTAAAATATGATGAGGGACTGAAGATTTTTTTGGCCCAATCCACTTCTGACCCAAATAACCAAGCATCAGATTTTCTTTGACGGGGAAAGGCTTCTTAATTGGGCTGAGAATTCTTTATTACCAACACTTGCTATAACAATCCAACATTTAAAAAGTTTAAACAAATTTTATTTATCTAATAAGATCCAAGTCTGCATCCCACATTCTAGAAACCTGTCCAACGTAGGTCATCTATACAGATTTGGCCAGAGAAACTTTACAGCTAAACAGTTAAATTCTAGTCATAATTGTTTAATATAAGTGAACATTGAAGTCAATACTCAGAGGCGACAGGCTGTTTCATGTTGGATGCAAATGTCAGGCCACGAGTGTTGTATTTTTTCTCATAAATAAACAAGCCACTCCTGCCAAAATAACTGCCAGAATGGATTACCCACAACACACCACTGACCCATATATATAGTCATGAAAAATCCAACACTTACAGCCTGAAGATTGTGTCTAACATGAAACAGTCTGCCACCTCTAAGTGTTGACTTCAATGTCCACTTTAATATTTACATATGCTCTATCTCTGATATTGAGCACTTTATCCCATAAATATAGCACACGTTAAAACTATATATATATATATATATATATATATATAAAAATGCATGTTTCATTAAATAATATAGACAAGTTTTGTCTATTTATTTTAAGTAAGTTCCTTTCATATTGTCTGATAAGCTTAATCACATTATCGTTGAAAGACAAAAGGAAAACACCATAATTGATACATGTTTAAATCCAATCTAAGCTTTCGGCTTACACAAGCCATTATCAAAGATGACAATTTCAATAAATCCAACAACAACGGAAAAAAACAACAATGATAGCCCGCCCTTGCTGCATGAAAATTTCAAGTAATGACAAACTCATATATATGAGATGCGGAAGCGAAAATCGTGTCGCAGCTCATGACATCATACATGACCACGCGAAAGTGAAAAATGAAGTATGAAGTATGGGAAGCTGTTGGTATAAGCCAGTGGCTTCTGTTATAAATTATAGGCAATTAAGAATATTTGTGTAGATTTCATAGTTTATTTTGTTCAGGTTAGGTTTCAACTGTTTCATGTATAAAGCTTCAAGAATTTTTAATTTTTGTTTATTGTTTTCATGTTTAAGTATAGTTGTGTTGTCATAGTATTAAGACTTCTAAGTATTTTATCAACTATATAGTTTGGAAAGCTATTATTAATAAGTGTTTGTTTCATATTCTTAAGTTCATGGTAAAAAAATCTGTTTTGGAGATGAATTGGTTTTTGCATGATGTATTAGACTTAATTCTAACATTTTTAGACATTTAAAACAACATGCCTGCCTGAGTACTCAATTCTGGAAAATCCTTGATGACAACACAACTATACTTAAACATGAAAACAATAAACAAAAATTAAAAATTCTTGAAGCTTTATACATGAAACAGTTGAAACCTAACCTAACAAAATAAACTATGAAATCTACACAAATATTCTTAATTGCCTATAATTTATAACAGAAGCCACTGGCTTATACCAACAGCTTCCCATACTTCATACTTCTTGTTTTTCACTCTCGCGTGGTCATGTATGATGTCATGAGCTGCGACACGATTTTCGCTTCCGCATCTCGTATATATGAGTTTGTCACTACTTGAAATTTTCATGCAGCAAGGGCAGGCTGTCATTGTTGTTTTGTCTGTTGTTGTTGTTGAATTTATTGAAATTGTCATCTTTGATAATGGCTTGTGTAAGCCGAAAGTTTAGATTGGATTTAAACATGTATCAATATGGTGTTTTTCTTTCGTCTTTCAACGATATGAAAGAAACTTACTTAAAATAAATAGACAAAACTTGTCTATATTATTTAATGAAACATGCATTAATGAAAAGTTGCTGCCTATATATATATTACACACACACACACATTTCTATAACAAGGAACCAATATAAAGGTTTACATACAGAGTCAAAAAGTATATTTCAGCAATTGACTTATTTGAACCAATATATATTTTTTGACATTCACAACAAAACTGACAGAATTACTTGGGGGTTCTTTCTAACTCAGAAAAATAGTACAAATATGGTTTCTAAAATTATTAGAAACTTTTCTTTAAAGTAGACATCCAATATTCACTATTGATTGATTGAATAATTAGAAAATTCATATATGAACTTCACTAACCAGATTGTATTCTATTGCATGTTCATCAGGAAGTATGTATCCTTAGCATTTTTATAAAATATTACACACGTGCATGTGTTTTTGCAAGATTTAAGGTTTTAATATTCTGATAGCTCTATATCATTTTGCAGTTAAATGTATGTGTATTTCAAAAACTTAGATTATATATATATATATATATATATATATATATATATATATATATATAAATATAAAGAAACAGATGGGTTAGGAAAACAGTCAGTAAGCCCAAGTTAAACATTTGGTTGGCAAGCAAACTGATCTCCAATTTCAAATCAGATGACATAAAATATTTATACAGTTCAAATATCAGGAAAGAGAACCCATGACATATATGTAAGAATTTAATAAGAGAGTGTGTGAAAATTTAAAATAATATAATGGTTAAAAGATAATTTGAAGAAGAAAATAAAATGAGTTCAAGAAATGAAAAGCTGATATTTCTGTTCTGTCCACCCATTCATTATTTCTGAGTGATGACACACTGTCTCATTTTAATTAGAATGTGGTGAGGTGTCAGCTTTTGTCATATGTCCCTGTAAGCAAAGCAAGGGAAAGATGACGCCTGATTTACTTTATTGGAATGAACAATGTTACTATAACTAAAAAAAAAAAATTCTTATGAGACAAGAAGAACCAAAATAGGTCAAGGTTTGAGAGAAGAGAAGAACATTTAAAGTAGGTACCATCATGAGATTGCTGGAAAATGAGCATAGCAGGATAATAATGGACTTAAACTTGACGAAAACAAAATTTTATCGTCAAAATGTTTGCTTATATTAAGAGGAAAGAACAAAGTAATTTTTAATTATTTTTCAAAATTTTTCTGTATTTATTAGAGCATTCTAACTTTTGATTGAAAAACTTTATTTCTCACCATCAACGAGTGTCCTACAAAATAACATGGTGGATTTTTTTTTTAATGGCAGTCATTAATTTTGAAAATCTTGCAAAAATAAAAATATAGTCAGATTTTAATGAAACTTTCAGAAACTATTCACAAATGATAGAGATTATTATAAATATATATATTTTTTTTTTTTTAAGTCATGGTAAAAGTTTTTTTTTATATTTATTACCCCCACCCCATAATTAATTTTATGAAAACTCATGAAATTCTAATTTGTACAGTTTTAGTGATTAATTAGTTAAAAGCACAAGGCTTTCAGGAAAGCAAATCATTGTTTTTAAAGTTGACACCCTTCTACTTTAAAATCAGTTGTGAATTGTAACATACAAGACTCAATAGAACAAAGATATTATTTAATTTCAAAAGCTTTTACTTGCTTTTACTTGTTTGTAGGAATATGGATAATATTTTCTGAAAGCAAAAAACGTTTTCGATGAAAAATAAATTTTTACATTAAAGTTGTTAAATATTCTAAAATTAATGAAAATCTTGTACACCTTAGTCAATGGTGTTATTAAGTAGATAAATATCATTTACAGATTATAAAATAAAGCTGGTTACAATCAGCAAGTTGCCAATAGCTAAAAATCTAATATAACGTTTTTTTTTTGTGCCCAAAAATAGCTTAAATTCAAATATACTGAAGACAGGAAGCATCATGAAAACAATAGTCCATCACGTGGTTTGCATTGGTAGTAACAAACATTTTGACGATAAAATTCTGCTTTTGTCAAGTTTAAGGCCGTTTTTATCATGCTATGACTACTTAAAAATAACAAGGTAAATAAGTTGTTCACATAAAGCTAAGCTGTCACTTGTGACCTTCTGTACTATAACTTTTCCTCCCGTAAGATGAAATCACACACATGTCACTTGCCAATCAACACCTCTGTTAAGAGTAAGACTGGCTATCATTTGAAAGTACATTTTTTTTTCCAGTGCAGAAAGTAAGTAATGTTTGTTTCAAAATACATGAAATAAATTTTATAATTTCTAATTTTCTTAAATTGATTTTTAAAAAAATCATAATTGATTTTTAAACGAATTTTAAATGGAGACTCACTTTTGTAAACAAAAGTTAAAAAATGTCTGATGATCGATTTTCTGTCAATTTTGCTGATCAAAAATACAAGATTTTTAACGAAAATTTTTGGACGTGCTAGAAATTAAAAAATGTAAAAAATAATCAAAAAATACTTTGATCTTTCCTCTTAAACATTTAGACGATAAAAAATTATTTTCATCAAGTTTAAGGCCGTTATTATCCTGCTATGCTGCATTTTCCAGCCTCTCATGTTGGTACCTAATTTAAAGGAAGCGAGATAAGGGGGAGACAAGAAAGTGTTTCGTTAAGTGATGTCCCTTTTAGCATGTGATAGCTTGTGGCAATATGTCCCAAGACATTTTATATTACGCCTATTTATTAATACACACACACAGATAGATAAAGAGCGAGAGAGGGAACGTGTGTGTGTAAGATTTTATAAAAATGCTAAAAGATGAACATGGAATTAAGTGCAAATTGGTTAGAGAAAAATTTTTTTAGTTATTCAATAAAAACAAATCATGTGTTCAAGTTACAGTAATGCATATTTGAGGATTTAAAAATAATATGAACAGAAAGCTCATTTGATTTTCTTTTTTTTGGATAAATGAAACAAGGATTAAAAGTGACATTTTTGAAACCAATAATTTACTAGTGTATCTGTACAAGATTTTAAAATGAGTATGGCAACTTAAAATGAACAAATCTTATTATAAATGTAGTATATAAACATATACATAATTATCTTGTGACACTTTCAATATTTTAATGTAAAAAATAATACATGAATCAAAGAGCAATTTGAAAAGTTTGCTGTTTTCATAGACATGATCAAACAGGTTTGTAATATTTTATACCATTAAAAAAAATAGAACATGAACTAAAATGGTTAGCAGGGACCATTGAATAAACATTACTCTATTTTGTTACAATAAATGTCTTGTTTTCTATTGCAAGGCAAAACTTGTTTTGATACTAAAAAAAAAAAAAAAAAAAAAAAAAAAAAATGCATTAAAAATAAAATTGAACCACTGTATTTTGATTGCGGTTATAATAATGGTTGTGAAAACACCGGGTTTCATTACATGATCATGAAAAAGGCTTTTTTTGCTTTTTATTTTTTTAAATTTACTTTTTGAAAATCTTTGAATGTGTTCTATAGTGGAAAATCATTTAATATATTAAATTTTTTTGCGAATATTTTCATTCATGAGAAAGTTCTAGTAAAATTCATAAGTAGAAAATTTAAAATAAATGATGCATATTTTATAATATTTGTAACAAAAATTATATTATTTCATTTGATGTCAAATCTGCCTGTTTGTTACAGAAAACCATCAATTGGAATTTTAAAACAAAATCTAAATACAGTAATCTTAATCACATTTCATGAATGCCATGTAATAAAATGCAATTATTTAAAAAATGAAAAGAAAAATTGTTTTAACAAATCAAACATATCAGTGTAGCAGTAGTGGGCCATATTAGAAATTACAAGGAACATCTTTTCTTCAAAAGTTACCCAAATTAGAACAAACTGCCTATACAAAACCAAATTAAGAAGTTGCAAGTTACATGAAATTCAAAATCTGAAATTATGAATCAATATTCAATGTTTACTTTAGAATAAAATGAAATAATAATTCCAAAATATTTTCAAAGAAACTTGAAAAAGCTGCTTTTATGAAAGAATATTATACATTCTCTTTACATTTTCAGTCCCAATTTTATAGGTGATAAAAATTTCTCAAATTTTTTCTATTCCAGGGAGCAATAGGAAGGCAGTGAACTGTGTTGAGTACAAATGAAAAATATTATTTCAATGTAGAATTAAGTCATTTATTTATATCAATGTTGAAGAAAATAGGTTTATTTTCTCTTTATTCTTGTTTTATTAAAAATAAAAATGCAGAGCAGTTTGTGATTCAAATTTTTTGATCAAACCTTTCAACAGTATAATGAAAATTTTAAAAGACCAGAAATCAATCCTATTTTATTCACTGCATTATTATTGGTTCTAGTGATAACCCTGACATTTTATGACAATGTTAATCAAATATGAAGTTAATGCTGATGTTTATTGAGAGTATTTTTTATGAAGTGTGTGTAACTGTCAAACATTTTCTTTATAAAAAAAAGTTATTTGATTGAAAACATCACAAATTGATCTTTTTTTACTACAGTACAGTTAATTACTTTGTATCACATTGCACAGTTTCACTTGCTTGTTGTGCAAGCACATGTGAGAACCCCCACACAAGAGTGTGCTGAAAGGTTTTTGGCCCAAACAAGATAGTATTTAAAAAAAATAACTGATGTTTGGGAAGAGAGAACTTTCCAGCAACACCTCTTTTTGTGTTTTATCATTTTTAAAATATTTTTTTTTTTTAACTAAAATCATATTCAAGAACCTTTTGTCTTTGAAAGAAAAAAAATCTTTCCTATTTCTTTCTTCCTTTATTTATATATATTTAGTTATGTATTTTTCAGATTCTACAAACCAACATAAAGCTGATACTAAAAAGAACTGGTCTATTTCAATGGCATTAAATTAAATCATATAACTGACAATCTTTCAACATTCCTCCTAAAAAATGGCAAGAATATTGGAATAAATATATGAAGGAAAACACCTTAAATTAGATAATATTGAATTTTTTTTAAAGTAAAAAACAGAGTTTAGAATTTTTATTATCATACTTCATATACTGATTTAAAGAAAATACAATATAAAGCACAAAGAAATATAAAATGATCAGCTCAAAGGTATAAGAATAATGTAAGATTAAAAACAAGCTAATTGAATTACAAATGCATGTAAATTTATTTAGTGCTATAAAATCTACCAATATATTTCAATATCAAATGAATACAGAATAATGTAAATACTAAAACAATTAAAATGCATGTGGATATATATTAATGATACATTTTTACAAATAATTGTTTTTAAAGTTTTTAAGAAAACATTATTGACATGGTTTTGTATATGTACAAATATAGTCAAAAATAAAATTGCTTATTTTAGCTAACATCATTTTCCCTTTATACTTTATTTCTATCCCTGATTGCACAATGCAGACATTTTAAATAGACATTATTAAAGTAATCATAGCTGACATATTTTAGTACAGTGACATATCACCTGAGATTATATATATATATATATATATATATATATTTTTTAAAATAAAACCTTAATATATAAACAAAATATTTCAATTCAAAGTAGTTGTTTATGTGGATAAGTTGTGAAAATTCCTTGCAAATACTTAAATAATATTTCTTTTAGATTTAATTTTGTTCTTGGTGAATTCTCTAGGGTAATAAATACTTAATATTATTGCAATATATTATATTACAATAGTAGCTCCAGTAGTATATAGCTTTCATGTCCAACAATGTATCCTTACTTTTCCTATCATCATAACTTTATTTGCTTATTTTAGAACAAATAAAAATTTAGTAAAGGGAAATTAAACATGAAACTTTGAGAAGTTTAACTCAATATAGCTAATTTAATTCAAAGTGGACAAAAAAAAATAAAAATGATCTTGCTCTAAAATATATTGCAAATATAA